GGAAGGAGCAATATCTGGAGAATACGGCGAGTGTGGTAGGACATCCCAGTTAAGCGCTTCTAACGTTTCCTTGACCGGTTTCGCAACATGTGGCCGAGCGTTGTCGTGCTAGAAAATCATTTTGTCGTGTCTTCGCGTAATCTGGCCGTTTTTGCTTCAATGCTCGACTCAATTGCATCAATTGTTGTTGGTAGCGTTCCTCAGTGATGATTTCGTTGGGTTTGAGTAGCTCATAATACACTACACCCAGCTGATCCCATCAAATACAGAACATGAGCTTGGCACCATGAATATTCAACTTTGCCGTCAATGTTGATGGTTCGCCTGGCCTGCACCATAATTTTTGCGCTTCGGATTATCGTGGCATATCCATTTTTCATCACTCGTCACGATACGATGCAAAAAACTTTTTCTTCTGTGTCTTTGAAGCAACAATTCACAGGTCACACATTTTGCGCCTTTCGACGTCCTTCGGCTTCAACTCGTACGGCACCCAATTTCTTTACTTTTGAATCATTCCAATGGCCTTCAAACGTCTGGAAATCGTTGATCGATCAACATTTAATGACATTCTGCAAATTCTTCTTGCGTTTGAGTCGAGTCTTGATCGAGTAAAGCTTCCACTTCCTCATCTTCAAACTTTTTCGGCTGGCCTGGACGTTCCTTGTCTTCTGTGTCAAAATCACCTTTTTTATAGCGTCGAAACCAGTATTCACATGTTGAAATCGATAGAGTATAATCACCATAAGCTTTCGACAGCATACGTTGACTTTCGGCAGCACTTTTCTTCAAATGGAAGCAAAAAAGCAAAGCTTTCTGCAAATTGCGTTTTGTTGGCACAAAATTCGACATATTCAATGCTCAAAAAAACAATGTTGTTTATACTTCGGCAAAATGACATACTGAAAATTAAAGCCACATGATAGTGCTTTGACATGAAGGTAACAACAATATGGCCCGATGCAATATAGTTACGCCATCTCTTGAAAATCCTTTAAAAAATCCTTTAAAAATTAATGCACACTCCCAATATAATAAATTATAGTTATAAATTATAATATAAATATTGCACATAAACTGGTACATTTTTAATACAGCATGATGTATTGGCACCCACTATCAAATACAAAAATTGTAAAAATAATTTATTGGAATAAGTAAAGAAACATTAGTGTTTCTGCATATCATGCTGCATAAAATTTGCCCATATCAAATCGGGTCATATAATATTGGCTAATAAACTATTTCTACGGGCTTTGGCCAGTCACATTGGGCAATGCTGACGCGGTCCGGGCAATGTGCCGACACTGCACACTGCACATGCGGACATTGCCCGTAACATATACAAAGTGTTAAAAGATCCGACTCTCTTAAAAAAATTTCTCAAAGAATAAATGCATTTCTAGAAAAAAATATTTTAAATAACAGTCATAAGATTTTTTCAAGGGAAGTAAAACACATTATTATAATAGAAGTTTATTATTATAATAGAATTATTATAATATAATATTATTATTATAATAGAAGTAATAACATTATTATTATAATAAAGTTATTATTACAGAAAGTTATTATAATAGAAGTAATAACATTATTATTATGATAATATTATTATTGTGATAATATGATTATGATAATATAATATGATTGTAGTAATATTATTAAAGTTTTTTCCCAAAATAATTTTAAAATCAATCTCAATTTTTTAAATGAGATCATATGGTTCTTTTTAAAATAAATAAAAATTCTGTGTTATTTTATGTATACAAATATTAAAATAACATCATGGAAAAATGTATATTTCCCGAGATATTTTACATTTTACTTTGATACAACTGTCAGCATAAAATATGAAATGTTAATAGTAGAAAGTTCTTAGTTTGAGAGGTCTTCAAGAATCCTAATGGAAACTTCTCGTGGAGAGCCCGCGAAATAAGCATTCAACGTTTTTGACCAAAATATGGAAAAAATCATCTTGTATTTGTGATATTTGTAATCAGAAAAAACATCCGTAGGGGATTATAAAACGTTTTTTGGATAAAAAGTCAAATAAATTATTTGAATAAACATTCGGCATGCTTATATTTTTATATACAGAATGTCTCAAAAAGTTGGAATATCCCCAAAAAGATCTCGAAGATCCCCAGAATATCTCGAAAAATATAAGTTTCATAAAAAATGTTTCAGATAAAAGTTGTAGTTAAAAATATTAGAGTCCTTATTTTTCGACTTTCAAATTCTTTCCACGGCACACTCCAAAAAGTTACCATTTGATAAAAAAAATCCCTGCTAAATTTTTGCTATTAATAACGAGAACTGGTGCCTCTCGTCGTTAAACATTGAAGTACCCTTGTATTAAACTGTCTACGTTATTAATATGGTTTTTAAAGTATATTTTCCACAAAAGTCGTCCTAGAAAACTTTTCTTTTTTCTTTCTACATCATTTCTTAGAGATCTTATAGTCTCATTTAAACAATTAGGTAAATTGTTGATGACTAAAAAATAAAAATAAATAGTTATTGCATTTATTGTTTGAGCTACAACAAATCATGCATGACTATAAAAGTTGCAATAGTATGTTTGAAGCACAATATAAATGTAAAACATGATACCTTCCATGTTTTTATTAATAAAGACATTTTTTAAATTAAATATTATATAATAATTAATAATCTCGTGGCTCCTAATCTTATGCTGGGAGGGGACCATAGATGTATAACACTTAAGCCGCGGGTTCGCAACGTTTCCCATTGTCTGAACGCGTCAAACAATATCAAGAAATAGCATTCTTTCGGTAAAAATCTGTCTCTTTCTAACAAAGACTGTTTTATTTCCACCACTTTTTGTGGTTTTGTAACGGGAATAAGACAGCCTTCGTTAGAAAGAGATAGACTTTTTACCAAAAGAATGCTATTTTTTACATTGTTTGACGCGTTTTAACAATGGGAAACGTTGCGAATTCGCGACCTAGGTATTATATAGTCTGTTTGATAAGAACGTGTCCGGCAAAACTTTTACATATAAACAGGTAAACGGGAAATTCAAATAGGAGCCGGTAGAAGGATCTTTCGCCTAAAATACTTTGTTGATAAAGTATCAGTTATCATTCGATCTTCGTAATAAAAATATATATTTTGCCATGAATTCCAAACATCGCGTTTCGAAGCCGTGTTTCTTTTTACACATCCGAAAAGATCAAAAATGTCACGCCAAGCGGCTGCTAAGAAAGTCAAAAGCATTTGTAAATAAGTGAGTGAATCGCTACTTAGAGGTGAAAAATATAAATGGCTTACTGAAACGTGGCTCTACGCAAGGATTTGACACTTCGCATATTCTCACAAACAACTCAAGCGCTAGCAAAATGGTCAAAATTTATGAGAAGGCTTTATTACTATCTGCTCAAACATGGTTTATGAGGAAAAACGAAAAATG